CTGGTCCTGCTTTGAGCAGGGGATTGGACTAGATGTGACTTCCTGAGGTCCCATCAACCCTCATTTTCTATGATTTTAGTGTGTGAATCCAATAATTTTAAAGGTGACCAGTGGTTTTGGACACCTTGGTTTTACGTACCTGATGTGTAGCAGGTTTCAGAAAGTTTGGATTGTTTACCCACTGAAAAACACATTCTTCTAATGTGTCTTTAACTGAGCACCCACGATCAGTCTTGGAGAACATTGCCCAACCTATGTGGGGCAGGAACCGTACCTCTTTTCGGAGTGCATAGAGAATGGTCACAACCAGAAATACGTAGTCATGGTTTTCACTCCTTCTCATGGAGAACTTTTTCACTTTTCACACCTGACATGCACCTTGTGACAAAATCTGTTTACAGAGATTAGCCAATATTAGGGAAATGAGGGGAGATTAGATTTCTAATAGACATTTCTAACAGTAAGTAAGTTGTGGCTAATAATAGCATTGCCAGTTGGGGGAAAAAATGGCCCCACAGCAGGAGACTTAAAATGCTCTGCATTTGCCATTGTGGCAATTCATTTTATGTGCATCTAGCAAGTGGGCTTCATTATTTTGGTATCTGTCATTAGACAAATAATCCCTTAGATACTTGTATCCATTTCTTAGCGGTTCTCAATCTGAGGAAATATCTTCAGATTTAGACTGAGCTGTCCACTTCCTTATGGTCTAGGAATATCATGAAGCACAAATGCTGTGTCTTCCTCTGTGCTCAAGTGCCAGCCAACATGATGTTCTCATGCACCAAAGGTGTTGAGCACTTTAGTTATACAGTTTATGTGCTGAATAACTATGCCCTTGGCTGGTAAAACCCAGGGGTAAGGATGCTCCATCAGTAGTTTGATCGTATATGCATGTTTGTTAACAACAAATGGGAGTGTCAGGGATCTGGTCAGCTCGCTGCCCACGCTAGCTGATCTGAAAAAAGCAAAGGTCAGGGTTGTGTTTTCTGTTTGCCCCTAGTTAAGGATTCTGTGACTTCTGTGTGGACTGTGTGACTGTTGTAATTGTCTTTATCACTTTGGTACCAACATTGTGAAATATGTGGTACATGGAGCTGCATCTTAAATGTGTCCAGAAAATGAAGCTGGTGCATGATTTTGCAGTTCACTTCATCTACCCAGCCTCCTTTACAGTGGGGACACCAGTGCCCCATAATTTGCAGTGACTGCCAATTGAATAGCTTTGCCTTTTGCCTGTGTAAGAGGCTTGAGCCATGTTTTTGGCATGTACAGAAACTCCTTTAGCATGGCAGGCAAGGCATTTTCAATGAGGGCCTGTTGACTTTGGGATTAATTCTTTTTCTTTCTCTCCACTTCTGCGCGCATTGGCTGACACATAGATTATGCTGCAAACCATATGCGTTCTCCCTGCCTATTGGAGAGCAAGGAGAATGAGGAGTAAGGGGATTTCTCATTCTTTTTATCAGGCTGGTATGGACCAAAGGTGGGTCAGGGTGTAATGAATGGAAAAGTAAACTTTAAGGATGGCATTTCTCAGTATTGTGGAGAAGGCCCAGTATATCTGCACTAAACTTACTTTCTTCTTTTTCTTGAAGTGGGAACTGAAATGAGAAATCTAACTATGTTTTTTTGAATGTCCAGTTTAGTGTTGTACATTTTTCTCCTGAAAATTCCTTTGCAAAACTGTAACATAAACCCAAGTAGTTTCTGAGATTAGAATTGAGGTTGTTGTCACAAAAGGCAGAATTTGTAGCAATGTAGTGCATGTATAGTTAAATATTTAGGGCAGCAAAGACCATTCAGTAACTCTTTTCTAAACTTTTCCCAGCTGGTGATAAATACTGTGTGATACAGGGATCATGTGCTTTCAGGGAAGAAACCTTTACTTTGAATAATCTTAAATTTTACTGAGCTTGTGCTGATTTGACAGTTGTTCAGGCTTTCAAGTTAGTTTTAATTTCCCTGATCTCAGGGCTTTATCCTCTAAGGGAATCTACTTATAGTAGAAACTGATGATGCTCAGCCTTTTGGACAAACGGTCTCTTAATTCTTTGCACCTTTGGCAAGACCGGATTCGGATGTAAGAATAACCCTCGTTATTTTTTTTTACCAGCCAGTTTAGACAAAAGGGTTTATTTGTTACAGTTTTATACAGTCCTGCATCAGTTGTTTATTCCAGGGATGACATGTCTAATGCTAAGAAAATGTTTGTCATAGTTTGCCCTTTTTGACATGGATGTTTGGCACAGATTTGCAGAGAGACAGATGTTGGCCTTTTATGCAATTGTCATATATGTAAATGTTAGAGAAAGAGCTAATCCATTAATGTCTTTGGATCTGATTTACTTTGGACCTTTGGTGGAGTCATCCATTACAAATCTCCTTGAGATTTATGAATGCTCTGAGAATCGGATTAGCAATCCCCCCAGACCCCACCTTCCCTTGCCCTGCAAAGATAAGAGAAGGTTTTGCTCAGCTGGAGGGAATGCTAAGCATACTAGTCCAGAGTATGGCACAGAAATTAAATTATCAATTAAGGAAAGTGCTGCAGAATGATTGCTCTATCTTTCAGAATCATTTCCTTTTACAAATGAAGGGTACAAGTCGCAGCACCCATCAGTGTAAAAAGGCAGATGTGGTTAGGTGGTTAAAGTGGTTCAGAGTCTTCGTAAATGGTCATGAAATAGATGCTGTTTCTTGAGGGGTCAAAATGGTATGGAATAAACAAGACGGGACAGTGGGAACATCAATTAGCTGGTCTAGTTTTTGCGCCACTAAAAATAAACATTGTTTGAATCAGTTTGTGAAACTGTGGTCACAGCCAAAAGATTGTCCCAGGCCTGCAAAATGTTTTAAGAGGATGGATTTTTGCAGAGCTTTGCAGTCATTCATGCTTGGTGGTTTCTTATTTAGATGCCTTTGTCCGACTGGC